GCCTGCGCCCCCGGCGCCTGCCCTCCGCAACGGGAGAGGCCACAACAGTGAGAGGCCCGCGTACCGCAAAAAAAAAAAAAAAAAAAATCACAAGATATTCCGATACTGGAGTTAGACAAAAATCAGAAAAAAAAAAAAAACAAAAAAACCAACCTTTAAAAAAATTTAATTAGAAGACCAGAAGGACACTGCTAAATTAGTTGTCTTAAAATACAATCATTTTCTGGAAAAAAAAAACTTGAAAATTTACTCTTAAAAAACCTCAGAACTTGTCCACTTAAAAAGTTCAATAAATTTATAAGAATTGTGACTAGATTGAGAATGACGGAACAGAAAATGTTCTGGAGGTTTTTCCATGATATCGTAATTTTGTGGAAATTTTTTTGGGGGATTATCTTGGACACAAAATATCACTGATTTTAATCCCAAAAATTGTAATCCATTGTCCTATTTAATTTACTATTCATACTCTACATGAAACAGCAGATTCCACTTGGATTTACCATGTTTCGGTTTTTAGGAGCACCATAGAACAGATCTTTTGTTAATAAAATACAACCATTTTGACTATAGTGGACTAACATAATTATCGCTTCATCAGTTGCTCCATTAGTTCATTCATTAGATACTATTAGAGTCATCATTAGACCAGAAATGAATTTCTATCATTACAATTAAATATGTTTGGTTTTTGACCTAAGTACAGGAAATAGAGACCATATTTTGATTTTTAACTCTCAAGAAAGAAAGCAATAAATGGATAATAATGCAGGATATATTTTCAGTTTGATACAGATTTAAAGATAACTATAGAATTAAGTAACTTAATGGCAACAGATATGTGTACAACAACATTCAGGGGGAAAAAAGTCTATTATCTACGACCACTAAGAGTTTATAGAGTAGTTTAGTGCTCTACTGGCTGTCTGCCATTCTTTAGATGTCCTCTTTTAAATCCAAATATTTCGTCCATTTATCACTGTAAATGAAATTTATCAACAGCATTTAGTTTTTCACTCTTATCTATAGCTGAATTAACTCTATTCCATCAAAATCAACTAGACTGCAAGATGAGAGAACCAGAAAGGCTGAGGAGAAGGGAAGGAAAGAGACTCCTGATTCCAAAATGATTTAAACAAAGAGAGGTTAGAAGGTAAATTGGTAGATGACAACTTCATTGTGAAATTCCTGTCCTGCAATTATTTACAAAGAACAGGAGATTTTTCTCTGTTAGACCATAATTAGCAGAGAAATATGTAAGTCTTCCTTAGGAAGATCTCACGGCTCCAGAGCCAGCAGGATCTAACTATAATTTGACTCTGTTAATGTACCTAAAGAAGGAATATGTCCATGAAAGAAGTCAGCTAAAAAGGTGTTGAAAAAGGACCAATTATTGGCAAATTTAGGCAACATTCAAATAAACTAGTCCAGAAGAGTCTTGACTAAGCATATGGGAACATGACAGTTTTAGGATAAGGCTAGCCTTATAGTGGATCAGAGTGTCTCAGCTTCCTTAGGATCACAGTACAGCTTCAAATTTGTTCTGAGGTTCAGAGAAGTTAAGCAAACCGCTCTATGTTAGTTATTTGTTCCTTAAGTCAGGATTTAAAACCATGAGTCCAACTGACTATGAGCCAAATACCACAAGAAGCATCAATATATGTCTAGGCTACCTATGCTTACTTCCCTCAGGTGATTCATTTATTTGTAAAGAATGAATATAGTTTAAATGCTACAATTTTTAAAATCTGATAAATTCACATAACTTGCTCTAAGGAAACTTTAATATACATCTGAACAAAATGTTGAAGATACATATGTAGCTCCAATCAAGGCCATTTTGCTCCTTCCTATCTGAAGATCCAAATCTGCACTGGGTAACATTAAAAGCAGACAGGAGCTTTGAAAACCAATACGAAGACTTTTGGAAGCTTTTAAAGAGACAGTAAATTTAACTGGGTGGAGTAGGGGTGGGGAGGGAGGGGAGGCATGCTCTTCTCCTAATACATTCTAAACCCTTAGGTATCTTTCTCCTCAGAGTCCATTCATTGTAGCAGTTGCTCACTCACTCATTCATGCAGCAAATATTTATTGAGAATTTACTGTGCTCCAGGCACTCATGCTACATTAGCAGTTCATCAACCTCTCTTCAGTCTTCTGTCTTCAGTCCACTTCTCTCTTAACCCTTTCTTCAACCAACAAGACCTTTACATCACAGAAACTGCAGTTTCTTACCATTTCTGATATATACCTACCCAGTCTCTTTGTCTTCTTCCAATTCCATTCTTGCTTAATTACCCTGTTCAGCACAGCAAAGAGCTCCCAAGAGCCCATCAGGGCAAAGAGGGAATTCAGAGAAGATAAGGAGGGTAGGAAAGCTATGGAAGCTTAAAGTGTGTGTCTCTTGTACAAATAGTGTGCCTATATTATGCTCTACCAGATTTCCAGAAATACTCCCTGCCATCCTCAAACCTCTGCCTTGAGTGATGAACATATGAACAGACAACTAAAATTGGCTATAATTGGATAAAACAGAACATGTTTTTCTCTGCAACTTGGAACTCTTTACACAGCCTAACAAAGAAAGTAGGCCTAGAAACAATCATTTGGAGAGAATTGATTTTTATGGCTTTTGGATCATAATAAAGAATACTATTATAATACATGTTTAACTTCCTATAATTCTCACTGAACATTTTCTCACAAAATATTCTCATAAATCTTACTATTTAGTTTAGATTTAGTATGACTTTGGAAATTCTGCTTTTTATCTAGAAGTAAATGTTTGCAGAAGTAAATAGTACAATGTTTCTATTTTTGTTCACTAAGCATCCCAAATTTTAGTCTACCCACATCTTATCAAATATCACTCTCTTTCCATTCTACACTCATTTTTTTTTTTTTTTGCGGTACACGGGCCTCTCACTGTTGTGGCCTCTCCCGCTGCGGAGCACAGGCTCCGGACGCGCAGGCTCAGCAGCCATGGCTCACGGGCCCAGCCGCTCCGCGGCATGTGGGATCTTCCCGGACCGGGGCACGAACCCGTGTCCCCTGCATCGGCAGGCGGACTCTCAACCACTGCGCCACCAGGGAAGCCCCTACACTCCTTTTAAGATTTATTTTAGTAGAAGTTATCAACTGGTATAATATGTCATTATGAAAAATTTCAGGAGAAATTTCCTTTTGGTTATTTTTGGTGACTGAAAGCAAAACCTTACTGTGGTTACATTGCCGGGACCTACTCACCTGTCAAACAGCTCTCCTCCTGTGACGAGTTCTAGGACCAGACTGATTTCTGTAGGGGTTTCAAATATCTCTTTAAGTTTTATCTGGGAAAAGATATAAAAAAAAATCACAAATTCTTTATTTTCAACTTTCTAGGAAATAGTTAAAATTATGGCTACAACAGCACTCTCTGTAATAGCAATATGTTGGATCATGGTTAAAAAAGCTTCCTTATTCTAGTACCAGGCAGTCATCTGTCACTCTCTGGTTGTTTTTATCAGTTACCTCATTTCTTCAAAGGTCCTTTTGAGATTTCATATTTTTCATCTTGATCGTTGAAAGATACCTGCCCTAGAAATGCTTCTTAAAATTTGCCAAATCATCCCAATTTCTGCATTTCAACAGAATTGAAAACAAACAAAAAACTAACAAACAAAAAAAACCCAGAAGCAAACAAAACTTCCTAAACCATTTGAAAGCATCATGGTTGGTAGAGATGCAAATGCCTCTTTCTCCTAGAAAGGGACTTCAGTTAGGGGACTGAGACAGAACAGGACCAGGTTAAAGTCTGTCT